TCTTGGCCACATTTTCTGACGCATAGAAAATTCTGCGATAAAGGAGCAAACGCCAGAAATGTAGTCAGGTTTTCTAATTATATTAAAATTNAATGGTCGCAAGTATTGAAGCGGTAATGAAGCTTATCCGGATATTTTGATTTTCGAGTATCATTCTTAGCATGGGGAGAGGATAGTGTCAGTAATAATGATCGTGTAAAGCGAGGGCATCATTATTACTCAGTTCAGTACTTCAGTGCGCATTGTGGAAACAAACTGGACGGACCTGCATGACCGATACATGATTCAACAAGCGAAGAAATTCTTCGTAATGTCATAGAAACTTGTGAAAGTCTTCCTGAATTATGGAATCCGTTACTTGATATTCATATGAACAAAACAAAAAGAAACGCAGCTCTTATGAAGTTGTTGGTCATTTATAAAAAATTTAAAGCAGAAGCAAAGTTTCCTGACGTCAGGAGACATTGCAACTGAAAACTTCAAATCCTCAAAGCGTCTTTCCGTAGCTAGGTACCTCAGAGGTCAAGCCAATCTTTCATTAATTGGTGAACTGTTCCGCATAACCGTATTTTTTCGTGTTAGAATTGATTGGACTATTTGCAATTGGAAGTGTATTCGCCCAAACGAAAAAAAATGTTATAATCACTCACTTCCTTCGTATCACTTATTTCCTTCAATAACACTAAATGTGAATAATTTTCGCGTTTTTTTAAACATTACTTCATCTAGTCACGACGTTTAACAGAACTCTCAAAGACGATTGGATTTATGACCGTTCTTTAAAAAAATCATTCAGAATATTTATGTGTAAGCTCGTTTTAAATATTCGATTACATTATAATGCGTTTAAAAAGTTAAATCATGGTTTATGTATTGATGAATAAAACAGCTGAAGGTATTCAAAGTATAAGTATACTTTGTATATTCATATACAAAGATACAAACAACTATTTCCGATATTGTATTGTTAAAAATACGTTTTTTTCAAAATATTTTCCAGAAACATTCTTAAACATATTATTTTCTGCTTCAGTATATTATTCATATTTTTACTTCAGATCTATTTTTATATTGCTTCTGTGAATGTATTTATAAATAGATACTTTTTAGACCATTTTTTAATATAATATAAAATCATCTTTTCAGTGATATAACACAAATGACCATTTCTTTTCACAATAATGCGGTACAAGAGCTATTTTCTCTAAATTCAATATGACGGCATATAACGTCATCTATAGAAATAATGTCAACCAACTTGATGTAGTGAGGAACACAAGATGATATTTGCTCAGTTTCTAAATAAAAATTTAAAATTTTTCACTAATTCAAATAGGAAGTGGTATTTTTTAATCTTCAACATTAAAGAGTACTTCTTGTATTACAGGAAAATATCAAAGATACTATGCGGTTTATTTTTGTGTGCTAGTGAAGATCATTATTTTCGACAAAAACTATTTCATAAGATCAAATAGGAAGCTTTAAAACTTTCACTTTTTCACTGGAACAGAAAAATGAACAGCTCATATTATCTATTCATACAAATTTTTGAGAAGTTCGTGAATTCGTGAAAAATGCAGTTCTTAAATTTTTATTTAAAAGCTAATATAGTCTGTTGTTACTGTTGTTTGGCAAAATTTGCATATTTCACGTCATGGTGCCGCCATATTGAATTTATAGAAGATGGCTTGTAGGCGCTATTTTGAAAAAATTGCTCAATTTTCAAATAGCACTTCATTGTGAAATTTTCACTGGACAGTTTACAAAACAGCAACACGTGTTTCGCTATACAATTGCCACCTCGGGTGTGTTCATACTGACTTGGAATTGCTCACTTGAGTTATATCATTCAGAAAACAATAAAATAGTTTTGAAAATAAACAGGGTTATATTTAAAATTCTCGAATTGAATTCATTTCCAGTTGAAGAGAACTAGGTTATCAATTGTTGGCTCATGTTTCGTTGTCAACCGGTTTCGTTCGATAAAAATATTTTTCACCTGTTGACAATTGAGTCCAGTCGACTCAAATAAGTCACCTAAGATGGATCGTTCGATGATAAACAAAGTATATAAGCGGAGAAATTTAATCTGTTTGTTGTAGACAAACTTGAACCGCATAAAATTTAATTGTTTTGTAATACTACAATAACGTGATTTGGTATTTATGTCTTCCGTTATGAAATCGAAATAAGGAAGTTCGGGCCACATTTTTCGATGCATGATGCAGTTGGTCGTTATTCGATTTGAACAATGAGTGGTTGTTTATCGACAAAACAAATATGTAATTACTGTGGATGCGCTATTCCAAGAAATTATCTGCTTGTTGCCGACTATCAGTGATATCAAAAATGATGGAGAGAGCCGTAATCCACCGTATCCTTAAATAATTGGAAGGCTTCAACATCTTGAGCAATAATCAATATGGCTTTCGAAAACAAAAATCAACAGGCAACCTTCTATCGTATGTCACCCATATTTGGAATAACGCAATCGAGAAACATGGATAGTCAATAGCTGTTGCGCTCGATATTTTTAAGGCATTTGGCTGTGTGTGGCATGAGGCTTTGCTGGCCAAACTACGAAGCTATGGCTTGTCGGATCATTTTTGTGTGGCTCTCAAGGCTCCTGCAAGAGGTCGTCGATGCATATTTCTCGAATACTTTCACCATCAACGCTGGTGTTCCTCAGGGTTCCATATTGTCTCCAACCTTCTTTTTATTGTTTGTATATCAACGACTTATTGGAAAAAACAAGAATCCAATATATTCCTTTGCTGACGACAGCATACTTATCTCGTCATTACATTCGGCTGCGGAAGCACATCTTCACCGGCAGCAGGAGGTTGAATATCTTAATGAGGATCTAGAGGTGATTTCGAATTGGGGTGAAAGTAACCAGATTCAATTCAATACCACGAACATCGGTTTTCTCCAAGAAGATAAATGTCTCCGGACCGAATATAATAATGTCGAGGCAGACAATTCCGCTTTTTGCTTCGATAAGTTTGTTGAGAGTTAAAATGGACACCAATATGTCTTGGCACAATCATGTCGCTGGAGTTGCAAAGGCTGCTTTTCAAAAGCTTGGAACACTGTTCCGAATTAGAAAACTGTACACACCTCAACAACTTTTGATGCTTCATAAAGCTCAGATCAGACCTTCTCTGGAGTACTGTTCTCATATATGGAGCTCCGCCCCTAAGCATACCCTGAAGCTGCTGGATTCCAACCAGAAAAGAGCCATCCGCCTGATTAGAGACACGAACATCACTTGTAACCTGGATAGTCTGAAACATCGAAGAAACGTTGGAGATTTGTCACTCTTCTATAGATACTTTCACAGGAGGTGTTCATTTGGAGAATTGAATTCACGGGAATAAACTTCCTGAGAACTTTTTTCCAAATGGATTTGATCTCCAGCGATTCAAATCCAATGTGAATCGTTACTTTCGTAAAGGCACCACCCTTAAAGCGCCTTAAGGATTTTCCTGTTGTGCGTCTGCCATCAGTACTTGGATAATGAATGCCATGAAACCATGAAACAGAACTATTCTTCAAAAAAAAACATCTGAAACAATATTAACCCCCCTTTGCGGTGAATGAGTGGCGAAAGATTTGGAGAATGTTGTGGATATAACTCCGTAATGATCAAAAAGTGTATTGAAGGCAAGGGCTCTATCATATCTGAAAAAAGAGGCTCCATCATATCTTAAAAAAGATATTGAAACCAGGTCATAAAAAAGCATCAAAATTTAATAAATAATTACAAGCAGATGGTTTTACAAAATAGTAGGACAACTGAAAATGAATTTTCAGTTATGTAAATGAAACCTCCAGTCAAATACAAATCAGTTTTCATTTGCTGATGATGAAATGAAATTGAATATTGATATTGAAGAAGAACATCCTGTATGTACGAATACATTTCAAAATTAGTTTTCTGAACTCTCGAATGGTAAATATATATTTAGGATAATTTTAAAATGGAAATTGAATCTCTGCAAACCTATTGAACATAGAAAAAGATGATACCCTAATTAGTAGTCTCAAAGACGATTGGATTTATGACCGTTCTTTAAAAAAATCATTCAGAATATTTATGTGTAAGCTCGTTTTAAATATTCGATTACATTATAATGCGTTTAAAAAGTTAAATCATGGTTTATGTATTGATGAATAAAACAGCTGAAGGTATTCAAAGTATAAGTATACTTTGTATATTCATATACAAAGATACAAACAACTATTTCCGATATTGTATTGTTAAAAATACGTTTTTTTCAAAATATTTTCCAGAAACATTCTTAAACATATTATTTTCTGCTTCAGTATATTATTCATATTTTTACTTCAGATCTATTTTTATATTGCTTCTGTGAATGTATTTATAAATAGTTTTTAAAAGGTTTGTTCCGTTAAATTTGCACAACAAACTTCAAGATAGAATTGGTGCCTCTGGCATAAAATGACTGCCACAAAAATACTTTTCTCACCAGAACTATAACTAGCACTATCTAGAAAATACATTTTTTTCAGTACGAATAATTATCAGCGGTCATTCAAAATATTTCTGTTTCATTGATATGTTATACTATTTGCTAGTGAGATAAACTTCGTCAAATATTTGGCGCAAAATTAGCTGTAAAACTTCGAGTACGACTAATGTCGAATGTTGAAAACACACTTTAGTCATTTACGGTAGACCGGTCCTTATATTTGTATTTACATTCTAATCTCTGTCTATTTACTCTGCTTAAAGTCCGGGAATAATAATCATGAAGTCTCAACTTCGCTTTGTTTGATATTCATTTATTTCACCTTATTAACCAGTAATTCCAAATGAAAGGCATGAAACATTTATATATAAATGAAGTCTTGGAGAATCTATCTCAGCTTAGCAAACCAGTAATTAATTTATTGAGCATTGTAGTGATAGACTGTTTTTCGCAGTGTCTTGTTAATATTCAGTCCCTGGACTAAAACATGTTACTTATTTTCAGATACGTCCTCATTTCATGCCAACAATACTACAATATTTTGTACTCCAAGCTTTCAATATGGATACAACTTATCTGTATATGGGGCATTGCTTTTCTGCTGATGGTAAGTTATCGAATATTGTCATCACGATTAGAGTTCAAGTAGATTCAAATATACTCAGTGTATATGATGTTTTGATAATTTCTTATTTTTCGTAAGCATTTGACAAATACAGTACAAATTATTCTTTTACTTAAATTTGTTATTGAGAAGTATCACCAGATCAGTGAGCCAAGTATTGAATCTTGTGGCACCTCTCAAGTAATCATGGGAGTGTTGGATTTCATTCAATTGATTTTTTTTCAATGAGCCAATAAATGTGACTTGTGTCGTTGTGTTTTTACTTTTATTCACTTAGTAGTACAATCAGTTTTACCATTAAGAAACTGGGTTCAAGAAGACTCAGAAAAACACTTTTTTGATTGTTTTCCATTCAAAATTAAATTCTATTTGGATTCATCCATGATATTTTTTCTTTATTGAGTAACTCGATTATGGAAAATCCGAAACTAGACGTTGTTATGTCTGGTTTCACCGGAAATTATTTCCCGGAAATTATCTTTGAGGAAATTCCCTAGAGATTGTGCATAAGCACATGGACATGAACAAACGCAAAAGACAATTGTCCTTGGCGTTTGTTCATGTTCATACGTATTTATATTCATTGTTTGAATAACTTGATAGGGGTTATAAAGACGTTCCCATCTCGGCCAAGGACTTTTTGAATTTAATTTTTTCCGTGTAAATTTATATTTTTTATATTTTATTTTACTTTTCAAATATTTTAATTGTTAATGGCGGTTGTTGTGGATTAAAAGTCAAAGTTTGAAAAATGATTGAAGAATATCAGTACCAGAAAACTGAAATAAAAAACACAAGAACGAAATTTCGGTAGAATTTACAAGCATTTTCCGATTTAAATTAGAGAGATGACAATGTGATGCTCAGTTGAAAAAAATTCAATTGAAAAAGTCCTCGACCGAAATGTCTTTATAACCCGTCTCAAAATTTTCAAACCTGAAATTCAACACGCCAGGAAACCCCTTTCCTTAAATATCCCGCGTTCCATGTTTTTGATTCTGACTAGGATCATTTTCGCGACGTTTCGGCAAAGTCTAATTTGCCATCTTCTGGTGATGTCTGGAGTTTGGACCTAGACTCTGGAACTCTATTTCTCTCTCCTACCTCAGTTGTCTGATTACATGTGCTTGCGTGTTAGCAATCACACGTTTAAAGGTAAGACCTCGTTAATTCTTAACTCGCACAAGTTTCGACTTCTGAGGGTTGTTGTTCGTAGAGGTACTCATGATCGGAAGGCCGTGGGTTCGATTCCCGCCTCGACCAGATATTTTTCTCGAGAGAATGTATCTGGTTGAAGCTGTGATGATTCTGAAACCGTGTTAGGAATCACACGCTGAAAGGTAAGACCTCGTTAGTCCTTAGCTCGCACAAGTTTCTCAACTTCTGAGAGTCGTTCCTCTTATTCATGCTACTGGGTCGTTTTTCAATTTTGATAGCCTCGAAATTGATGTTGTGTCCTGTCGCCAGTACGTGTTCGAAGAGGGAAGATGTGATTACTTTTCCCTTCTCTGCTTATTTATGTTCATCCTTGCTTACGTTGATTCGTCTGTTGGTCTGGTCGATATAAGTCTTGTCACAGTCTTGACATGGTACTTCGTATACTTCTTGGGAATCCAGTGGTATCTGAACCTTCGGATTACGGACCTTATTGTACGTTCTGGTATGAATGATGTTGCTATGTTGTGTGGACTAGATGATGACAGCACGACCAGCTGTCGAAAGCGCCAATAGTATATAAATCAAACCTTGCAACACACGCCATACAAAACAAACATAATTTCCCCCCACCAGAGAACATAAAACTAATAAAACAAATCAACAAGGGAAACCGCATGGACATTTGGGAAAACTTGAACATCCATAAATTCAACAGTAATAAATCACTTATCGAGGAACAAGTACAAATCAAAACACAAGATCTCACATTCAATATATTAAACAAAACCATCCACCTAGAGAAGATCAAACACGAAGAATAGTACCTGATGCAGAACAAATACAGGCAAATTTACCTAAAGTACCTGAAATACCTGAGTTAAGACGCTCTGACCGTATAACGAGGCAGACAACAGGATGACCAGTTCAGTTTGAGGAGTGCTAGAAGATGACAGTACTACCAACTGTCGAAAGCGCTCGCAGATAATTAATAGAAGATATAAAGCTTCAAATCCTTTTTGTAGAATTTAATATTGATAAAGGTATTAGGTTGTTTCAAAAGTTTCGTCCGTTTAATTGTCATGTGTTTTTGTAGCTCCATATCTCAATATTCATTTTTACGATCTTCATTCGGATTCGAAGGCCGTCGTGGTTTGGAACTGTATCCTAACGTTTCGCCAACACGAGTGGCTGACTTCTTCAGAGGTTTATTCATCTTGATGGTTCACCGATGACTAGTGATTTCTAGTTCGTAATTTGTATTTATGTTCACTCAGATATCCCGCCTTTCTTGTTGATGCGTTGCAGTAATTATTTATTCTACTGTGTCGTGGTATATACTGATCGATAGAGAATTGTGTACTCTATACATTGATGCTGTTCGCTTCTGCTTATGCACAACCAAAACGACTTTTTTTTTAAATCGGATAATCGCGTGTGATGTAAAGTGGATCCTCTACGACAACAGGAAACGTTCAGGACAGTCGTTGGACACCGATAAGCCACTCAGGCACTCCCAAAAAGCTAAAATCCACCAAAAAAAGACCATAGTTACTCAAAGAATGTAAACTTTCGCGGCCGAAACTGTGTCAATTTTTGTCAGTGCTCTGCAAGGTTTTATGCCTGACGTTTCGTCTATTATTGCGGTAGACATTATCAAAGCACTGCTGTGAGGTAACGGTCACAGCAGTGCTCCAGTTGATGCTCCTGTTAATCCCAACGCAGAAATTGAAGTGCTGAAATTTGTCTCTCCAGGTTTATATTGTCATAGGTGGGCGTGACTTCGTTTATCTTGATTGGATTATCTGACCTTGTTTGTATACAGTTAAGGATAGGTAGCCAGATTTTATTAATGCTCAGTGCCTCTTCTTTTTTATTGAAGCAATCCCTATGTTTTTGAATTTCTGTTGCCTCTCTTTACACTCTCGGATAGTAATTATCAGTTTTATCGAGTATTACTGTATCTTCTAATGAGATAATGTGAGGGCCTTCTTTTTTGACAGCACGTTCGGCTACAGCTGATTTGTCGGTTTGTCCAAGGCGTTCAGAGAGACGGGTAACTATACTTCTTTTCGTGTTGCTAATGTAGACAGACCCGCAGCTACAAAGAATCTGGTATACCCCAGGTGTTCCTTGAGGCTCTCTAAGGTCCTTAGCTGACGTTAGACTTTTTCTGACAGATTTCGTTGTCCTAAATATGTCATGTTTCTCTAAAATTCTCCCAAGATTTTTAACATAGGGGAGGAAAGCTTTTCCTTTGACGGGCCTAACTGGGGTTACTTTGACGTTCTTTCTCCAGGGTGGTATAGCTCGTTCGAATTCCACTTCGCTTTACCCATTTTTTTAAGGCATTTTTCACCGGTAAAACCTTCGCCAATCAGGCCTAAGCAAAAACAGCCTTCGTCGACTCCTTCGAATCTCGAGCCCCCATGTTTAATGTTGACAATTAATCGACTTGTGGTACGTTGGCAAAAGTGCACTGATTCAAATTGGCGCTTATTTCAATTAAACTGAATAAGTATTCACTGAGATATTACAGTTTAAAATAAAACGGACAAAACTTTTAAAACAACCTAATAGAAGCTAATATGCATCAACTCCACACATCTTTTGAAAATTTGCAACTAGAGGTGAACGTCCATACACTTTGGGGGTTTTGTATAAATATGGAATAACTGTTCAATAGCCAGTTTTCATGGAACATAAAGTATTGTTTCCTTCCTTCATACATCAAGATTATAGGTCCCCAATTTTTGAGACATCTTTGACGGGAAAATTATATTTGGAATTCTTGTCGGAGACCCTAGTTGAGTTGTTGGAATATTTGCCTTGGAGTGGTATGAGAAAATATCAGTATTTACAACATTATGGAGCTCCTCAACTTCGCGAATAGGATAGGAAACATTAGTCCTATTAAATGATAATTACTTTCACCTGATAACCCTTCTGGACTTTTGATTGTGGGGCTTCATTAAAGATAAGGTGTTTAGCTCAACTTTTGACAATTTTGACGAATTGAAAGGATGGCTTGCATGGCTATAACTCCACAAATGCTGGAAAATTGCTTCAAAAATACCATTGCAACAACTAATATAAATATGTTCAAGGAACGATGGGCGACAATTTGAACACTTAATGAGATATCGTGAACGACTTAGATGGTTAAGAGTATTTTGACATTTAATTTTTTTTTCTTGTTACTTGGTATATTACATGTTCTTCCGATATGTGGAGGTTATGTATAGCATGTGTCAAGTGTGAAACTTCTAGAATCTAGAATACTCACCACTCGCGGTGGTAAATAATATGTATCATCAATATTAAATTAATTTGCCTCCCAACATTGCACATATGCACAACATAGAACATATTGTTCCTATTCATGATGATGTAAGGTATATCTCGACATAAATATTAAATTACAAAATGGTCGTGCGAATCCGCAACACACTCGCTCTTAATGGATTTCAAAAGGGAAAAGAAAGAAAAATCCTGGTTTATTTCCTTCCTGAAAATTTTCTTTCAAGATTTGGGTTGTTGATGACATCTGAATTTATATGTGAAAACATTGTCTAAGGATTTAGTGAAACTATTGACAGAAATTCATAGTAATGAATAATTCTCCAGGAGACATCTAATGAGCAGAAACCGAACTTGGTGTAGCATTTTTCAACATATTAAAGTCTACATGGAAACTATCATGGGATTGGGAGAGATCCGGAGGGAGTTAATTTACAACAGAACATGTATAATTATCCGAGAAGGATTAAATATACGCCAGAGGTTCCAGTTCTACCTTTCAGAACCGCTTTTGAGTAACTTCTGTACCAGGGGCTTGACGGCGGTCAAACAAAGATAGCTGGTGAGGTAGGATCTGAGGAAATCGTCATTTGATCAGGGTACCTTCCTTAAGGGACCATTACACGTTCAGTAATAATGTCATCACCTGAAAATAATGACATTAATAATGAACGTGTAAAGGTGAGAAACTGAAATGGTCGCAAGTATTGAAGCGGTAATGAAGCTTATCCGGATATTTTGATTTTCGAGTATCATTCTTAGCATGGGGAGAGGATAGTGTCAGTAATAATGATCGTGTAAAGCGAGGGCATCATTATTACTCAGTTCAGTACTTCAGTGCGCATTGTGGAAACAAACTGGACGGACCTGCATGACCGATACATGATTCAACAAGCGAAGAAATTCTTCGTAATGTCATAGAAACTTGTGAAAGTCTTCCTGAATTATGGAATCCGTTACTTGATATTCATATGAACAAAACAAAAAGAAACGCAGCTCTTATGAAGTTGTTGGTCATTTATAAAAAATTTAAAGCAGAAGCAAAGTTTCCTGACGTCAGGAGACATTGCAACTGAAAACTTCAAATCCTCAAAGCGTCTTTCCGTAGCTAGGTACCTCAGAGGTCAAGCCAATCTTTCATTAATTGGTGAACTGTTCCGCATAACCGTATTTTTTCGTGTTAGAATTGATTGGACTATTTGCAATTGGAAGTGTATTCGCCCAAACGAAAAAAAATGTTATAATCACTCACTTCCTTCGTATCACTTATTTCCTTCAATAACACTAAATGTGAATAATTTTCGCGTTTTTTTAAACATTACTTCATCTAGTCACGACGTTTAACAGAACGGTACATACTTAATGCAATAATTATAGCTTTTTTCTTCAAATCCATAATCGATAAAAACACAGTCTATGTGATTTCTATAAGCCACTCGAGACATAATAGTGATGAAAAATAATATCAATAATAATGAACATGTAAGGTGCGGAAAATAATGACAGGGAATGACGAGACAATTTTTGTTAATGATGTTTCTGTAATGATCTGCTGAAATGATATTATTACTGAACGTGTTATGGTCCTTTTACGATAATCAAAAACTGTCACCAACAAACGATGGACGAACTAGTGAGAGACTGCCGAGCAGACAGATCACATCTCATATAATCGACTGTGATGCCAATGCGCATCACCTGACCTGGAAAGCACTGACACCAATGAAATAGGTGAACATTTACAACATTTAATCATGGCAAACAATTCAGATATTTTAAATGTAGGAAATAAACCTTCCTTCGTTAACACGATATGTATGAAAGTGATAGACTTAATATTTAGGTATTTACTTATTATTAGGTACCTACTACGTTCATAAGTAACTATGTTGAGAAATGGAATGTGTCTGATGAGAAAAAATTAACAGACCATCGGCATATAAACTTTGAAATCGGGGGTCTCAGATCTCGATTATATCTTTATCAAAACCCCCTGAAAAAAAACCTGAGAATTCTATAAGGCAGACCTGGAAACTTGTTTACCCCGGATGAGTGTTGTATCAAAAGATTCTGAAAACTTGTCAGTAGCAGACAGATTACTGGGAGCAATTATCTCTTCGTACAACGAACATTCTCATCATCATCCAGATATCCAACAGGAATGGTATAAGACTTCAATACAAAAGATCGCTAACTGAGGAAAACTAAGAGAGAGTCATGAAGAAGGCAATGCGAGAATATCCAACAGACCCAAGGTCACACTTTATATGATCTTCTCGAAGGGTTTGAATAAATAACCTAAAAACAAATACCAAGGAGTATACGAAAGCCGAAGGAGATACTATACATGTTATAGTATCGTATTCCAAAACTATGGCACGGGTAGCAAGGGATTGTCCTCGGGGGACGAGTTGCTACGTCTTCTGGACCATAATAGACACAAAATACTAAGATATGCAGACGACTTAGTCGTCCTAGTCCAGGGCAAATATGATAATATAGTGAACGCATGCAGCACACCCTGAATTTTATAACTAGATGGTCCCATGAAGAAGGGCTGAACATAAGCCCAGTCAAATCGACATAGTATGACTTACAAAACTTTGAGGTGAAGAGATGAATATGTTGAGGGAACGACATCTAGAAAGAGTTGAAGGAAAGGTAGAGTTAGTAGTGATGCTAGTCAGACCCACCTGCAGAAAGACATGAGGGCTGAAACTGGACATGATATAATAAGTATACATGATGATAGTTAAAGCCATGAAAACTGAGCATTTTTGACCAAAGCGATCCTCATCAAGAAACTCTAAAGGCAGGGTGCAAAGACGAGCTTGTTTGGAAATTACAGATGCAATGAAAACTAAACCAACATTGGAGACACTCTTGAGCCAGAACAGAAAATGGGATTACTGAAAAACACAAGTACTCGGGAGAGAATAAAACTTGAAGAACTTTTTCAACAAAGCAGGGATCAACTTCAAAGAAATGGGCATATCACACAGCTCCCAAGCAGCAATAAAAAATTTGCGGTAAAACAGTAGTTCGTAGTAGACTGAAGGGGACCCAAGGTACTTAGTGTGATTTATAATTACTATTTTTTCTGCCCAAGAAAAGAGCCTTTTTTGCAAATAATGATATACTTTGTTTTCATTTCTAGTATTACAATAGTTCGTTTTTTCTTCGAGGTATTTTGCTCCACCCATTTAAAATCTATGGCAGGCTTACATAAATACCTATGACAGGTTTGAGAGTATAGTCATTCTAAACCAAATAAATCCAAAATAAGCGCGTTTCACGAACCGACTTGGTTGGTGAAACGCGAGAAGTATTGCAGTGCATAATTTGGAAACCCTGCAGATCCATTGAACATGGGCAAAATATACAACTTTCATAATAACCAAAAAACCAGCGAAATTTTTCTTTGCTCACGATATTGACCTATTACACAGCAGAAAAAGTGTTCATAATGACGTAAATATTGACAATTTCATGTTCATTTTAGGTACCACCATTGCTTGGAATTTGGGGCCAAATGGGATTGAATCCTTCTACATTTTCCTGTACGATTCTAAAGAAGAATGGAAAGTCACCGAAAAATATGGTCTTTCTGGTCGGTTTCATTCTACCCTGTGCTGTCATTATTCTGGCATATTCGTGTATATACTGCAGTGTTCGAAAATCCAGGAAAAAGTTGAGGTCGCATCAGTAAGTATATAATTCGAAATAGTGTACTATTTAACAAAAATGAAAAGTTCCTCAGGATACTCGCTCAAGTCTTACCAACCAATTGGCTGTATATTTTATTTTATGACGATACTGGAGGACAATTATGAGTATAGATTTATACTCAACAAGTGAAATTTTCTCATTAAAAAATTTGTTAAAATGGGTGAACCAGCTGTTGCTCCCATATAAGAATCACAATCTCTAAAAGACAAACACTAATGAGATTTATGTAATTGTGATTTTCCACCGACAATACTTTGTAGTTGTGGATCAATTTTACTTGTACCAATTATCAAAAGAGATTTAAGATGCTCATCGGTTAATTGAGATCTGTAAACATTCTTTGTGTAGTTCCAAGAAAAATGGAACTGAAAGTTCCATACTAACAAATCACACATAAAAACAATAAATCAAAACAAAATACTTTTATTGACGGGTGTTACTTTATTTCACAATAGACAGTTTCGCTTCCTTCGCCTTTCCTACGCAGACTAACTCGCAGTTGCGCCGCCAGCCTTTTTATATGCAATTATTACTGTCATCTCGATGTGATCGGAATACACTAGCTAGAACCAAAACTTTCTCGAACCAACGCGGTAATTACTGCCATCTCGATGTGATCGGAATACACTAGCTAGAACCAAAACTTTCTCGAACCAACGCGGTAATTCCAAATATTTAATTACGCCTAATGCCACCTAGCGGGTAGTTGAAAAAGATAGTACATAGTACCACTACTCGCCACTACATGTCGTTAAGGGACACAATACACAATAATAATTGAAATGCAAAAAAAGCGTAAGTTTGCTTAGGTCACGCACTTTGCGACTATCCTAGTCTAGAAATATAGTTAAGGGCAGAAATTAGCCCTTGGAACAAACTGAAAAAATCATTATGGCCCGAAGGCTTCAAAGTTTGGAGACCCCTGGTATAAACCATCTCTAAATTAAGCGAATTTTATGGGAAAACCGGATTATCCAACAAGAGGCATTGCTACAACTGCTGAAAACCAGGGTACTGTTGGGATTGACCAAGGTCTTACGTTATATGAATGAAGGGATACAAATGGAGAGAAGAACCAATACTGAAACACTAAGAAAGTACCGATCATATACCCGTAGACGTAACCCGCAAATGATAAATGGACAGCTGATTGGAGACTCGAACATCACTTGCTACCTTGATAGTCTGGAACATCGAAGAAAGGTTGGAGGTTTGTCTCTTTTTTGTAGATACTTTCACGAGAGGTGATCAATGACTTGGCACATTCGATTCCACCAAGAGCGGTTCATATCAGAAATACACGACGTACTGTGGCTGCTCATCGTTTTGAGGTTCAACTCAGTACACCTCACACCTCACTGTATAAGAATTCTTTCATTTGGCGGACTGCGTTTATGTGGAGGAAGCTTCCAGAGAATGTTTATCCAAATAAATTTAATCTCCAACGAGTCAAATCCAACGTGAATCGCTACTTCCGCACAGGCACCGCTCTTAGAGCGTCTTAAGGATTTTCCTGTAGTGCTTGTGTTTTGTCCTTTAAGAGAGTCTTCAAATATGGTGAAGTTGTCAAGAGGTTTTTTCTACTACTTAGGAGCTGTCTCAATTGTACAATTCTCCAGAAAACACTGCAGCTTCAAGGGCTCATTGCGTTTTTCTCCCATTTTTTTTATGACACCCATTCCAACAATCTTGGTCTCTGTACTAGTTTTCACGAATCGTTTATTGAATGTATGTCATATTTTTCTGGGCATGATTTGGGTTATCCATAAATTGTTTGTCTCCAGTGATCCAAGCCTCACATTCGCAAAAATAATACAAGGTATCTCTGTCTTTTTGTTGCATTGCCTGTAGCTATGTTCGATTTTCGACTCGTCTAGATACCAGGTGTTTCTGCTGAGCATGTTCTCGGGATGACTGTTAATTCGCCACTCTTCGCGGTTTAAATCTCAAACCATGAATTTTTTGTCGACGATGTATTTTGAGGTCATGTGGTCCGAGAACAAATTTGATTTTCGTTCCTCCACATATTCTGATTTTTTTTTCTCGATCCCATGTACCTTGGTAAGTTTTCTAGTCTTGCTTCTCCCATTATGTGTGTGTCTCCATTGCAGCTGTAAGAGTGGTTTTCATTCAATCCATTATTCTCAAACATGCAAGTCTTTACACCCTGTTTAATGGTCGTTTGTTGCATATTTGGCCACCAGGCCATAGTTGCATATGTTATATGTTTGAATACTATGGTGTAGAGTGCTACCCCTGCATTCCAGTTGGTTCCATGTCAACTTGTGATTTAGTATCACTTCCAGATATTTGACCTTTCCTGACAAATGTATCTCTCCACCTCGAAGTTTTATGAGTCCTAGCCTATCGTTACCAAGAAATGTTTGGAATAAAAAATACAAACACGAACCATATAATATCCATAGTAAACATAACACTTTACTTGAAATATCACGATCAAAAAATCAGTTGGAACAATTCATTCAACTCTTGGCCCATGACTATACAATTCTCTGCTGGAGAACATCAAATCTCTGAAATTCAAAGTGGAATCATCCAAATGGATTAAAAAAAAAACTGTTCGTCAATGCACTCAAAAACTTCATTAATACTGGCTCAGTATGAGGGAAATTATAATTTTTGAACACTATACTTCTATAAATATATAGTCTCCACTTGGTACTTGGAATGGTATTTTTATTTTTTGGGAAAGAAAGTTTTTGGCTTTCTACTACTCCATCTTGATACAAAAAAAGGGGATGAGGGAATCTTCCAAAGAAAGGAAGGAAGTAATCAATTTGAAAATAAGTAACTCTATACATGGATGTGTAGATCATGCAAAGAAGTAACTTCCGTCCTTTCTTTGGAAGATTCCCTCGTCCACTTTTTTTGTATCAAGATGGAGTAGTAGAAAGCCAAAAACTTTCTTTCCCAAAAATTAATCACTCCTAAAAATATAACCCCTTCAATTCAGGTATTTTTATAATATTTCCCGTTTATTTATATCATCTATCTATATACATAGATAAATTTACTTGTGTAACATCTATTGTTATTACCTGGCGCATACTTGGGTCTATCTTCTCGCCGTTGCTTTCTCCTTTAGTCTCTCTTAGATTTTCTGCATGCTCCGTTGTGTTCAGTTAAGAAGCTTTTGTATTGATCCCAGATTTCTTTGTCCTCTTAAAGGTTTTTCTACTTTGTTGTCTCATCTTGCCAAATCTTTATTCTTCCAGAAAACATTCGTGTTTGATCTCTAGTTGACGATGCGAAAATGTTCGTTGTACGTAGAGATAATAGCCCCCCCCAAATCAGTCTGCTACTGACAATTCTTTAGAATTTTTCATTACAACACTCATCTGCTCTAAACAAGTTTCCAGGTCAGCCTTAAAAGATTTCCAGTTTTCCGGGGTTTTTATAAGATATAATCGAAGTATAAGACCCTCCGATTTTATAGTTTATATACCGATGAACTGAAGAACTTTTTCCATCAAACACTTCAAATTTGTCAACAAAGTTATTTATAAATGTAGTACCCAAGTCTATCACTGTCCTACGTCTTGTATTAACGATGGTAGGTTTATTGTCTAGGTTCAAAATGTCACTTGTTTACCATAATAAACTGTAGTAAATGCTTTTTCATTAGGTTAGATTAGGTCTAAAGTGAGTAGGTCTATTCGACCCTCCACCGCAACCCGCAAGGGTTTATTGTGGCTCACACCTATTCACACTCGGCCAAATAAACCCAGCTTCTTAACGAAGTCGAATAGTTTGTATGGTGAGTGGTCTTTCAGGTCAGATGGTAAGAGTACGGCTCTGCCGAACTCTAAGAACCTGATTCGGTCCCCAGCCGGGCAGGCACAAAGTATATGCTCTACTGTTTCATCATTTTCCAAACAGAGGCGACACACACTGTCTTCCGACAGTCCAAGTCTCTGCATATGATGATTCAAATGACAGTGACCTACTGTAGTCCAACAACTGTTTGGTATCAAGCTTTGAAGCTTGGATAAACGCCTTGAAGTGAGCCAATCCTGGAAGATTCTGCCACAAGTCCAAAAATGTTCTTGCCATACAGGTGTTCAATGTTTGTTTGGCAAAGCCTAAAGCGATGCCAATGACAGGTTCTGGTTCGCACGATTCCTGGCCAGTATGGCATTCCTATCGAGGAGAGTCGTTTTTGGCAATTTGCTACCAATTTAGACGTTGCTCGGTAGGAGCCAAGAGCTTCCAACGCCGCATGACTGTCCGAGAATATTTTTATTGACTTGTGTATGAGGTTGGATTCTTCCCCTAAGAGGCGCGTTTCGTTAGGAGACTGTGTGTGTGAGAGAGAGAGAGAGATACAACTCTAAAGCTCTTCCTAGTTTTGACAAGCGTATATATTTCTTGTGATCATTGCAAAAAATAAAAAACTACTTTTTTCGATAATAGTCATAAAGCATATAATTTTATAGTTATACCACATAATTTGTGTCAACATACATATTTCCCGCTCAATATGGAGATGCGTCAGTAATTTTAACTCAATTTTGATTTTGTTTACATCTTTTCACAGAACCTTGTATTTTCTCTTCTAGGTTTACATGGGTAAAAATGATCAAAAATGCATGCAAAATAATGATATGACCTTTCATTATCTGAAAATTGGAGTAATAGTAATTGATTAAAAAATCTCTGTAGTGTCTGAATATATACGGTATCTTTAGTACAGATATTCTCGCATATCAATTGAAAACTGATACCAAAGACAAGATTCAATTTCAATGTTGTCTTCATCATTCAACATAACTAATTTGATATTTTTTTTTAGGCCGATGACGGACAAAAGAAGCGGTAGACGAGAAAAGGACGACAGTCGACTGACAAAACTCATGGCCATCATTTTCATTTGTTTCCTCTCTTGTTTCTTGCCCCTAATGCTGGTTAATGTTTTGGACGACCACGATATCAGATACCCCATACTCCACGTTATTGCCTCCATAATGGCTTGGGCTTCTAGTGTTATAAATCCATTTATCTATGCTGCCAGCAATCGCCAATATCGTTCTGCATACTCCAAGTTATTTAGAATAGTTAAATCTAGTGTAGTTTTCTCTGATTCTAAACAAGCTTCGAACAATATTCGACAAGAGAAGAATTCTGTTACTTACAAACCTAGTGGGGGGAGTAGGGGTAGCGATATGTAAGCAAAGTTTTGTTAGTTATGTTCGGGTCCATTTTGTTCATAACAAACATTCCTGATATTTTTACCAAATAGTAGAATAGACTGAAAGAATTTCTTCAATAAAGCCAGTACCATGTAAAGAAATATCTAAGAACCGGATTTGAGAATTCATTCAATTCTTAAAAGTAAATCATTTCAACATGAAAGTAAGTCTTACCATTTTACATTTCAAAGAGAGGTGTGTAACTGAAAGCCTCTTGAGCCGGCCCTTGATAGAAGACAACCTGGATAAGTACAGAGTGTAGCACTCCCGATGGTATAGGTATTACGAAGTTCAAAGAAATTTGTCAAATGAAAGTAGTGAATGGTACAAATTACATTGCCTGCTTGCTTCTTTTACATAAATACATAAATAAGAGGTCTTGCTAGATATTTACCAAAAAAAATTTGGGTAGAACCTGTTTTTCAGATTTGTGGTCCAAAAAATTACTAAAATTGGCTAAGAGCCATCATTATCAACGTTGATAATATAATTTACGACTGTCAAAAAGGAAAGTAATTCAGTTATTTTTCAATACAATGAACACAAAATATCCTTACCTATACATCTAAGCCACTTAAATTTCTAGACAAAACCAAAAATTAAATAGACCAATGGCTTTCCTAGCCAAACATACCATTTTGTAAAATTAACAATTTACATTTCAATTCAAAAAAGGCTTCTACATCAGATGCTATATTTTTCTTCTTAAAAATCTGCGTGTTGTATTATGGGATCCAAGCACAAACCCCAGATTGTGGGAATTAACTGATTTGTCTATCGTTATCATACTGAACCTCGTTAAAACATATCACCTACCTTTATGGAAAATAAAATAAATAATCGATAAATACCTTATTTTTCTATCCATGGCGAATATTGTGTTACTTTAATCGAGATCGAGGATGACTAACTACATCAGGCTTATTATCTTGTATCAGTCTGAAGATGGAGAAAGACGTTTCAATAAATCGGTGTCAATAGGAGTGCCTCAGGTGATAATAAAGAAATCTTAAGATCTTGTCACNTTAGAGGTCCAAGACCCTCCGTTTTAGTCCTCTTGGTGAATGCTACTATGGTCGATTTGGATGGGCTTATGTTAAGCCCTTCCTCTTCGGTCCATCTTGTTATGATGTTCAGGGCCTGCTGCATGCATCCCTTCACTACATTATTGTATTTGCCCTGGACTAGGATGACTAAGTCGTCTGCATAGCCCAGTGCTTGGTACCCATTACGGTCCAGGAGACATAGCAGCTCGTCCGTCACAAGGTTCCATAACAGAGGGGATAGAACCCCCTGTGGACAGCCCCTTGCTACCTGTGCCACGACTGTTTCCCCCATAATGGTTGTATATACCAATCTTCCCCTAAGCATGCAGTGTATCCACCTGCATCTTGTCTTTTCGATCCCTCTTCTCCTCGACGCCTGTATAATTGATTCTAACGACGTATTATCAAATGCGCCCTCAATGTCCAAGAAAGCAGCTAATAGTACTTCCTTGTTTTTGTAGGTATATTCTACTTTTTCTGTTACCCGACATAGAGCCGTTTCTGTTGACATACCTGACCTGTATGCATATTGGTCTCGATGTAATGGTCTGATAGCCAATGTTACGCCCCTAATGTGCCTGTCAAGTAGTTTTTCTAGCGTTTTCAACGCAAATGACATGAGACTAATTGGTCTCAAAGCCTTCGCCGAGCCCTGTCCGATTTTCCCAGGTTTCGGAATGAAGGTGGCCCTGATCAGTCTCCAAATTTTTGGTAAGCTTGTCCTGAGAATTATACACAATTTCTTGAAAAGTACTTCCGGTCCCTCTTGAACCATTACTGGGTATATGCCATCCGGTCCCGGCGACTTGTAGGGTTGAAATGAGTTTATAGCCCATTTAATTTTCTCCATATCTATCACCTTCTTTGTCGTTTGCCAGTCCTCCCTGGATGCCCTTTTTGGGGTCTCCAGTTCTGAATTCGCCCATGACTCCGGTGTTAGATTTGTAATTTCTGACCCGGGAAAGTGTACCCGGAAAAGCTCTCTGATAGTCTCTTCTCCGGTTTTTGTGTACTCCCCCGTATTTGTTTTCAATTTATTTATTGAGAGCACCCTTCTATACTAATCACAAGAACAAAGTTTTCAAGACACTATTCTGACAGGCCAAGTTGACAAAATTACATGCATTGGCTTATCATTATAGCTGCAAGAGTGAAGAAGTCTATCTGCAACTTTAATGTGGGCCTTTTGTTAAACGGGTTCCATTCAGTGACAGAGTTCTGATCATCTCGTTTAGTGACGAAAGTTAAGCCAAATTCATCGGTCACTCAGGCAGGTACCTTGAAAATAAATTTCCCAATACTTCCTCTCTTAAGGTCACACGCACACCATATATAAAAGGGAATCCAAACGCGTGACGATTTGACAAATCAAATTAAAGTATTTTTGTCTGAAGATTTACATCATATTTGCAAAGTCAAAGAAGCTATAGATGTATAGATAAAATTTGATCATGAAAAGGCAAATCAAAAAATGAAGATAATTATGATTGAGATCAATACAATGAAATAGTATTAAGTATTGCTAAAACATGTAAACTTACCTTTGATAGGGTCTATCTGCTAGCAAATTCCTTACTGCTTCTTTAAATTGAAGGTTGCTTAGGTTTGCAGACCTCACTTCTTGACGGTAGGTGAATAAATAATTTACCACAATTATAGTATATGGAATATTTGAGTAAATTTGAGGTGGGGATTAGGAGCCTAAAGAATAGACAGTGCAATGACTTCCGTGGAATGACAATTTTGGATAGGAACTCCTACGAAGATGTGTCTTTTTGTCCAAGTCAACAACGAATTCGTAAAACTCTTCCCAAATTAATTCCATTAGTCCAACGGAGTAAGAATAACACGGGAACAGCAACAATATTTTTAGCAGCGACTTTATTCATTCCGGGATAGTTCTGGTATCAGAACTGTTGGAATTTGACCTAATACTACCATGGAGGGAGTTCATCACTCATGCTATCCCTTGTGAGTGGTGCTGTTTCACCTCGAGATCGACATCAATATGATACAGGATGCTTCTGCACATCTCCGCAATTCTCGCATCGTCCTCTTCTGTGGTTGAGATGGACTGTTCATTTCTCTAATTCAAATAGAATGTATGTATTTTTCCTTCCCATTGAAGACTACTGGAGGATGGAAATCATTTTCTCCAGAGGCATACAGTTTGAAATCATCCATATAAAATATGTGTGGGATCTTAAACCTCTGAAGCCTCTAGGGGTGTCAGTCATATCAACAAGTTTTCCTGACAACATATAATGGCAAAAGTGAGATGTAGGAAAGAACGGAACTAACCGAATCGCTCTGAAATACATCATTTCTGAAAGTGGCCTGTTCTGGTTGGACTATAGTTTGACTAGCTAACGGCATCTGAACAAGTCTAAGTTGGCTCATGCCATCTTATTTTACAACTTATAACACGAATTCATGCATGTTATCTGTCTGTAATTCATTGAAATTGACAGTATCCGTTACTGGAGATAAGGATGGTCCGTCCCTCAATAAATCAATCAGGAATCTACTGCTCTTCCTTTCAGATAAGAGTTGAAAATTGCATACAGATTGATCAAAAATAAAACATTCTGAAACTTCCTTAGGATCAGACACTAATACTATTATGCCCACATTGGGCATAATAGTATTAGTGTCTGACCGAAAGTGGTTTTTACGACCGAAACCGAATTTTGGCAACGGTCTCAGTTTCGGCCGAAACCGAAACTTTCTTACAAGGATTATGTTTTGAAGGAAAAATAAAGAAAA